TTCACTGTTGAATGCCGATTTTTATTTTTATTTTAGTGCTTAAAACAGCGACGTATTCTTTCAATAAGGCTACCGCCAGTTAGACCAAAACCGGGCGGTTTTTCTTTTTGTACCGGTCAAACCGAAAGAACCGGCCGGCACGGTAAAATCAGCACAATCAGCCCACCGTACCGCTTTTGGTCCAATTTCCGGTTGAACCGGTTGAACCGGCCGGTACGATCCGTTTCCTGTCTATGCTCTAACCCTTTCTTCTCCGACCTTTCTTTCTCCCCACAGCTATGTCGTTCTTTCTCATTGCATCGAACAAAGACCCACAAAGGCATCTAACCCCATCTCAATCTCAGCTAACCTCAATCGGCTAAACCATCTCCACGTTGCAGGTCGCCGCCTATTTCTTACTCCTGCCTAAACGATTCAGCAACTCGGTGCATGTCATCGTCGATCACCCTTGCCACAACCATTAACCGACTGCAACTCCAAATCCCTTGTTGTTGTAGCCCGACCAGATGCCGATTGTTGATTTGCATCCTCTACCGCTCTCCCTCTCCGTTTGATTTCCCAAGGGAGAAATAAATATGATCTTTAGCTAATAGTATTATTGGTCAACTTTTAGTGTCCTTCTTTAAGAAGAACTTATACCCTCTTACATCTTCCCAACCACTCGTCGTTTACGTATAACGGTCTCTCCGTCTAGCCAGGTCACCTCAGTAACCATAGCATCAGTAACTGTCAGTAACCATGAAACACCCTAACCCATCCGGGTACTACTTTTACTAATATGCCATTGAAAAATAAAATAATCGAACCTTAAATTATAGTGGGAAAAATTTTCATAAATAAAATACTGAAAATATACACACTTGTAGTTAAAAGCAACGCCCTAACACGTGGGCAAATTAACTCAAACCTGAAAATCTCAATATGATCTCCAGTCTATACTCATAATCATAAAGTATATTAACTAATTAATCTTAAAGGATGCTGCTGAATGATAACCTTGACTAGACATCCTAAGTGATGCTCGTACCATCCTCCTCCAGCTAGCTCCCTCGAACCGCTGCTCTCTAACTGCTCCTCCTCTTCCTCTTCAAACTGGTGAGTGAGTTGGGGTCATCCTATGCTAGGGATGGCAACAAAACCCGAATCCATGGGTACATGTGTTGACGGGTTTTGGGCCGGGTTTGGGTTTAAACTCGCTACACTATTCATCGGGTCGGGTTGGGTTTGGGTTTAGGTAAACCCGCCCCATGGGTACTCGCCCACACACGTATAATTACTTTTCGGGTATATTTATTATTCTAAATAATATATCTTCCTTAAACAACTAATATTCTTTATGTTTGTGGAGATATGTATAATTTGTTCTTTCTAATTGTTTAGAATGAAGTTGATATTATAATTTGTTCTTTCTAATTGGTATAAGTATGTACTACAGTTGTAATCTTTTGTACGTAACCGTCAATCCAATCGTTCATGTATTTTTGTCGAACCTGAACCCAAAGGCCGGGGTGTTACATTTCCTCCACCCTTATAAAAATTTCGTCCCCGAAATTTGCTCAGACTCATTCTCCCATACTCCTCATTCTTGTACTTCCTTGCCTCGAGAATTTACTCTCGCTATATGAACTTTGACGATGGCCATTGCTTGTGCTGTATAGTTTACCTCACTCTTATATTCCCTCTTGACCATAAAAGGTATTCTCACCAAGCACGTTAGCATCGAGCAGCTTTGACTGGATGCTTGCTTTTTTTTGTTTCCTTCGCTCGGTCCAAGGGCGTGATGGGACAAAATTTCGAATCAGTTTATTGCTCCAGCTCATCCAGTACTTATCGTTGAACCTTAAATCAAAGTCGAGGTATCACATTTCCTTCCCCTTAAGAAAATTTCGACCTCGTAATTTATTGATAGTGATAACTCCAAGTCTCACCTTAGGTACTCCTTCTACTATAGGAATTTATATTCCCTTTACTTTCACAACCCTTTTATCGATGCTTGGTTCTAGCTTTGATACCCGAATTGAGTTCAGTAGCTCCTCGCCATTCCTCCTAGAAGATTCTACTTGCTTAGCTTATAGGCCCCTAGTGTTGTTTAATGTCCAAACTTCACTACTCCTTGAGTCGTCGTATCCCTAAGCTCGATCATCGTGATCTTAGCGAACCCTCGTTGCATCCTCTCCTCTCGATGATAGCTGCCATTTTTCATAACTCCTTGCCTACTGCCTGTCGACGTACTAGATACTTGGCTCCGTCCTGAACCTTATTCTGATAAGCTCACATCCCCATAGGATAGGAGATGCCTTTACCCACCTCTTCTCACTCATGAAGGGGTTGCACCAAACGATCCTCTAAGAATCTGCTATTTCTCCTTCCTGAGACGTGTCCAAAACCTCGTACTGTCTCCTAGAGTTATTTTCGAATCATGATTTGAATATAAATTGGAGATTCTAAAATCCTCAAAAGAACCCTTACTCATTGGACCAAACACCCCTTTTCCTTTACTTTAAAAATAAAAACCTTAAAATCTCATATCGTCACTCTAGTATTCATTGGAGACCAAGAAACAGAGGAGTGTCGGCTCTGATACCAAAATGAAACACCCTAACCCGGTCGGGTACTAATTGTACTAAAATTCCCTTGAAAAATAAAATACTCGAACCTTAAATTATAGTGGGAAAAACTTTTATAAATAAAATACTGAAAACATACACACTTGTAGTTAAAAGCAACGCCCTAACACGTGGGCAAATTAACTCAAACCTTAAAATCTCAATATGATCTCCAGTATATACTCATAATCATAAAGTATATTAACTAATTAATCTTAAACGCTGCTCCTGAATGATAACCTAGAGTAAACATCCTCCGTGATGCTCGTACCATCCTCCTCAAGCTAGCTCCCCTCGAACCGCTTCTCTCTAACTGCTCCTCCTCTTCCTCTTCAAACTGGTGAGTGAGTTGTGGTTAGTCTACGCCCTTATGTTTGTTACTTTTAATACTTGAGCACTTTGCTTAAAACATTGACTTAAACATATGGAGGTTGTTTGTACTTCCGCCTTTAAACTTTAACTCTTAAAACTGTGTTATCTCATCCTTTATCTTATTGGGGCCCCTACCTCGACTTAGTTGGCGCCACTACTAGCTTTACTTACTTTCTTACTTAAACATGACTACCCTCACAATGTGGTTGCCCTCAAATGGGTTTGACCACCGCGAAACGAATCACCATCCAATGTCAAACTACGTCGTGACTACCGCGGAACATCCGGTAGCACATCTAAACCTAGGCAATGGAGACCGCGGAACTCATCACCGTCCAGCTCCACGCCTGACCAACTGCCCCGGAACGTATCACCATCTGGTCGTGACTACCGCGTAACTTATCACCGTCCGGTAGGGATCTGTCTAGCTAGTGGCTAGCTAAGCGAGGTTAACTTATTCTTACTTGTGACTTTCCCTTACTCTTATCACCATAACTTATTAAGCGGTGAATTATATAAAGCACTCCTTCTTAATGTTGTAAAACATAGACTTCAATTATGAAACGTAGATATTGAAATTCTCAAAACAATAACTCAAGTCGAAGCATGCATAATCAACACAATCATAAATCAAGTTGTGCACATACACTTCACGTAAAGCAAGTATAAGGCAAAAACTTAAAAATACGTAAGGCGTAGAATTTACCCCCTTTACACTCACCTTGCTACTTAAAAATCGATTGGCTTGAATATACTACTGCCCATGAATAAGATTCCGTCCTCGCTTCTCGTATACCATCCTCGCCAATCTAGACATCGACTTGGTTAGTTAATAATCACCCAACATGAACACGAATCCAACTCCATCATATCCCTACCTACTAACCCAACCACCGTTGACTTTTCCCATGTATTTGTCCACGTACCATTCCACCAATTTCACCCCAATCATATACTTAACATGGACGAAAAAAAAACCTTTAGATGGCTCATTCCAATTCCAATCTAATTCAACTTAAGCATGCTCACATTGACTAACTACTTTCGATACAGAATTTCTAGAATCAGCTAATGGCTTCCTCTAATTCCTTAGGCACCATAGCATGAGAATCACCATTGAATTGACAGAGTGAAGCCACGAGTACCTTTATACCAGTTGGTTTTGAGAAAGGAACACCTCGTCCAGACTACGGAAACCTGGTCCCTTCTCTCGTTTTCGGATTCAACTTGTTGGCGGCGGTGCAATCTTGAGGGGGATTGTGTTTATCCGCTAGTACAAGGGAAAGGAGGGGTGCTTCTTAGCGGCGGTGATGTTTTGCTGGGATTGGAGGCGGTGCTAGGGCACTCGTGGGGCGGCGCTGCACGGAGGAGATGGGTGCTGGGGTTTCATTTTACTTTGCTCCCAACAATCAAAACTCCTTCCCATTCTGCATCGTAACCGATTGCTAGCCTTTTAACTCATAACCGCGTCTCCTCAAAACCCCACCGTCATTCCTATCATTATAATAACCATAACAATAATGGTAATTTATCATCCTCCTAAACGTAAACCCCAATAATGGTAGGACAAAACAATCCATGGGTTCTCTTTTGGCCGCAAGCACATCACACCAGTTTCTTCAAGATTTAGTTTAGGTTAGTTGGTATAAGTATGTACCACGGTTGTAATCTTTTGTACGTAACCGTCAATCCAATCGTTAATGTATTTTAGTCGAGCCTGAACCCAAAGGCCGGGGTGTTACAAACCATACCATCCACTGTCCATCACATCATCTTTTCAACCGTCAGATCATGCAAAGTAACTACACGCGGGGGGGGGGGGGGGGGGGGGGGCAAAATAGTAATCATCGCCTCAGACAATTTGAAAAGCAGACGTGACAATGACATCAAACCATCCCGCCTTCTATCCTTCTTTCTCTCACCTTTCACGCGACAGTTCTACTTCCCTCTACTCTCTAACTCTCCATTCTTCCTCCCGATCCTCAATTCTCTCACCAAAATCGCACAAAAAACTTCAGAAAACACAAAAGAAACTTCAAAATTGAAGGATTTTTGCAAAGGTTTTCGAAGAATCATTCAACAATACACTGTTCTCGCTTCTTCGTCTAAAAACGAAGGGTTTCCAACTTCAACGAGGCTCAAAAATCATTTTTGCACAAAATATCAAGGTAAAACCTCGTTTCTTTCTTCGTGATGTCCCTCCCAAGCTTGAGGATTTGGTTGATCGGCTCCAAGCTCTTGAAGCTGATCTACGGGCTACTCGTCTGTCTCTTGAGTCACCTGCCACCACCTTTACTTCTCAACGTGGCCGTGGTCACGGCCGTCGCGGTGGTACTGCTGGCCGGGGGGCTGGTCGTGGCTCGCCCTCCTATCCAAGCCCCGACTCCTCATCCTCGTCTGCTTCCCAGCCTTCTTGGGACTCCTTCTCTGTTCGCAGTGATGATGAATCTTCTCGCGGTCGTCCTCGTGTCTATTGTCAATACAGTGACAAGCCTGGGCATAGCGCCAAAACCTGTTTCAGCTCTTCCCTCACCAGAGACCACCGCAGGCCAACTACACACAACATCCTCCCTCGTCTCCTCCTACTTCGTCTCAAGGCTCCTGGCTCATGGACTCCGTGGCCACTCATCACGTGACAAACAATCTTGGCAACTTGTCACTTTACTTTGATTATAATGGCCCCGATGAAATTTATCTTGGTGATGGTTCAGGTTTTCGGATCACTCATATTGATTCTTCTTCTCTTCTTGCTACTAATCAATGCCGCAGTCTACGTGATGTGCTATGCGTTCCATCTATTAAGCAACAACTGATATCAGTTCCTAAAGTGTGTCGTACTAATCCTGTGTTTGTTGAATGGGGGCGTCCCTGCTGACTGGAAGGAACAAAGGTGATACTTACGAAATTCCTGGTGGCTCTGGAGTTGTTCGCGTCGCCCTTGTCACCACTCGCCACACTCCTGATTCTTGGCATCATCGTTTAGGTCATCCGTCTTCCAAGTCCTTGTTGCGTCTTCTACGAGTTCACTCTCTTCCTCATACGGGTCGTTCGGTCTCTCTATGTAACTCGTGTTTGTCTAATAAGAGTCATAAACTTCCCTTTGGGATTCCAGTTTGTCTAGTAGTCGTCCCTTTGATCTTTTGTTTTCCGATGTTTGGAGTCCAGCTCCAGTATGTTCTGTCGATGGCTCCTCTTATTGTTATTGTCGATCATTTTACTCGCTATACTTGGATTTACCCTCTTAAATTCAAATATGATGTCTTGTCTGTTTTTCTTGCCTTTAAAAAGCTAGTCGAAAACTACTTCCAGACCTCTATTCGCAGATTCTATAGAGATGGTGGGGGTGAGTTTCAAAAACTTAAATCTGATCTCTTGGCTCATGTTATTACGCATCTACTCACCCCTTCATATACTCCTGAGCTTAATGGTCTCTCCGAACGCAAACATCGACATATCGTTGAGACGGGTATTACTCTGCTCCATCAAGCTAATCTTCCGTTGTCTTATTGATCGTATGCCTTCACTACAGTTGTCTATCTTATTAACCGTCTATCATCTTCGTCACTTCGTGGTCAAATACTTTTCACTGTCCTATTTAATGAAGCTCCTAATTACTCCAAACTTCGTGTCTTTGGTTGTCTCTGTTACCCTTGGTTGAGTCTCTATAGCTCTAATAAGCTTGAGCCTCGTTCTCGTCCTTGTGTTTTTCTTGGTTACTCCCACCAGCAAAGCGATTATCGCTGTCTCGATGCTCAGTCCGGTCGTGTGTTTCTTTCTCGTCATGTACTGTTCCTTGAAACTAAGTTGCCAGTTGTTCTATCTATGTCTCCACTACATTCTGCCGAGTCCACCTCCATGACTTGGCTTGCCTCTATGTCTCCTCCTGTTTCGTTCCTCCCATGCAGGCCACATGCTTCAGCTCTTTCCAAGTGGCTTCGTCAAACCCGCCTCTGATTCCTCTCTCTTTGTTTACTTGCATGATGGCGTTCTGGTTTATTTTCTCATGTACGTCGATGACTTGCTCCTAACTGGCAACAATGTCGCATTCTTGTCTACCTTTCAAACCAAGCTCTCGAATCGCTTCTCGCTCAAGCATTTGGAGCATGTGCATTACTTTCTTGGCATTGAAGTCATTCCCAATTTAGCTGGCTTCCTCCTGTCATAGCACAAGTACGTCACAGACCTTCTTCCCCTCTTTCAAATGAATGAGGCGGCCCCCGCCTCGACTCCGCTTGCTTCTACCGCTCGGCTTACACTAGCTGATGGTTCTTTCCCCGGTGGATACCACTTTGTATCGTCAAGTGCTAGGAGCGCTTCAATATCTTGTCACTACTCGTCCAGATATTGCTTTTTCTGTCAACAAGTTATCTCAGTACATGCATTCTCCTACCTCGACACATTGGTAACATGTCAAGAGACTCCTGCGTTACATAGCTGGTACGCGCACTGTGGGTCTTTAGATTCTTCATCAGTCCCTGCCTCTTTCACTTCGTATCTTCTCCAACTCTAATTGGGCAGGTGATGTGGATGACCGTACCTCGACTTCTGGATTTCTCCTCTATCTCGGTGATACTTTACTCTCTTGGAAGTCCAAGAAACAACGTACTGTTGCTCGTTCCAGTACAGAGGCGGAGTATCGGGCTCTTGCACTTGCTACTTCTGAAGCTGTATGGATTCAAAACCTTCTCTCCGAGCTCTAGTATCCGCTGCCCCCGTGCTCCTCTTCTTTTTTGTGATAACCTTGGAGCAGTCAACTTCAGTTCCAACCCCGTCTTTCATTCTCGTATGAAACATTTGGCGTTGGACTATCACTTCGTGAGTCAGCTTGTTCAGTCGAAGCAGCTTGTTGTTCAACATCTCCCTACTGCTAGTCAACTCGCAGATTTACTCACCAAAGCTCTTCCTGTTACCCGTTATCGACTTCTCACTTCCAAGATGGGTCTTGCTGACACTGCCTCCATCTTGCGGGGGCGTATAAGGAAGAATTCCGAGTTCTAGTTCTAGTTTACCTTGTAGTCCTTGACGTTGTATTAGTCATTGTTCATTCTCCTAGTCCTAGTAGTATTCTACAATTGTACGTGCTGTAATCCTTGGGTATATATACCCCTTCTTAATGCAATACAATACACGGTTCATACCTTACAAGCGACACCTGAGTGATCCTTCTACAAAAGAGTTCTCAAAACCAATTACCTTTGATTTCTTTCATTTCAGTTAGCAAACCTTTAAACAAAAACTTTGTTGCTAGATAATGATTTCAACAACCGAATTAGGGATAGACGGTCCGGTCCGGGTCGATATCTAAATACTTGCCCTATACTGCACCCGACTAGAGCTTACAAACTTGGGCTCTCATTTGTATTTTATTGTTGTAGTTTCGAGCGAGTCAAGTTTTTGTCGCTGTTGTCGGGGACAACGGTCTGTTATCTTGAAAAATTTGTTGGTTGTTAATCTAGCTTTTAATTTCCAGTTTTTGCAAGTGTGTGTTCTTTGCTTGTGCTAGACTTGGTGTTTTCCAATTGTGTGTAGGTGGCACATGAAAAGGAGCAACCCGGCACCTTTGCTACCACGTGACGAGGACATAAACCGAACTCTCCGGCTCCTAGCAAGGGAGAGAGAGCTAGTCGAGGCAAGGAGTAGGAGTGAAAGAGGGGACAACAATTGGGTCTCGGTGTTAGTGAAGAAGGAGTTGAAGAAGTCGAAGTTGAACCCGTCATTGTAGTGGAAATGGCGGGGAACCAAAGGCAAGATGCAGCTCATGCACGCCAGTTGAATGATGCGGCGGGGGAGGAGGAAATCCCGCGGACGATGGGCTACTATATGGCCCCAAGACCGGCAGACATTCAATTGCCAATACTACACCCTCCTTTGGCGGCAAATAATTTCGAGATCAAGCCGGCTCTACTGTCTGTACTCCGATTACTTTCTTCAGTGCCCTCACCACGGGTTCGAAGAACAGTTCCGGATCAAAACCTTCTACGGAGACCTAATGCAAGAGGATAAAATTCTCATTCACTCCTTGTGTCAAGGGAAATTGATGAATATGGCTCCACCCCAAATAACTGAGATACTTGAAGACATGGCCCTAAGGGGATACGATTGGGGGTTGACTAGAAGTGGAAGAAGGAGCAATGATAGGTGAGTGAGAAGCGTGGGAGCGAGTGCTCCGCTTGAGGCGAAGTTGGATTAGTTTCTTGAGGTTATGCTTGAAGATAAAAGGCAAGGAAAACGGGCGGTAATGTCGTGTGACTGGTGTTCGAGCACTAGCCATGAGATGGCGGAGTGCCAAGCAAAGAAGGAGGCAACCACTCCGGAGGAACAAGTCAACTTTGTGGCAAATGCTAGGGTCAACAACCCATATAGCAATACTTATAACCCCTGATGGAGGAATCACCCCAAATTTGCTTGGTCATCACCGACTAATCCGAGCCCAGAGGAATCACCCCAACTTTTGAGGGGTCCAGCAGACTGTGCGTGGGCCACCTGGCCGATAGGCCGGTTTGATGCAGCGGGCCAATATCACAAGCCCAGAGGGTTGGGGTGGCTGAACATGGACCTGGAGCAGTTCGAGGAGGAGCTCAGCCTGGTGGGCCAGAATGCACCATGGGCTGATCCGGCTAGCGCCGAAAATTACTTGGGCCCGGACTTGGCAGTGGGTCGAGCCGCGCGAGTTGGGGCACGGCCGGAGGAGCGGACTGGGCCGGGTTGGGCAGATCCGGGGTGAGTCGGAGGGTCGGCTGGACGGGTTGATCGCGGGCTGACCGATCCAAGTCGGACCAGGTCGGGTCGGGGTGAACCAGGGCGAACTGGACTGAGTTTCATGATACCGCGTGGAACCGAACCGGGCCGGGATGGGGTTGGCCGAACTGGTAGTGGGCCAAACCATTTTGAGCCGTGGCTTGTGAGATCGGCCACTATGGATCCGAACATGTGGCAAGGGCCGTACGGGGCAGGGTATGGGATGGGTCCACCCGGTCGAGGTGCCGCGGGCAACTTTGGGCAGGGAAGCGGATCACCGTTCTACCAGAACCCGCCAGGAGGTGACTTGGGTTATGACAGGAATGGTTCGTATCACCCTGCCTATGATGGAACTGATGGGATGGTCTTTCGAGCCAAGCCCCCGACCATTGAATTCCCAAAATTCAACGGTCAGGAGGATGCAGGGTTGTGGTTGTATGCGGCGGAGAGGTGGTTCAGAAATCACCCCATACCGGAAGAGAGGAAGGCACATCTGGCGTCCTTCTACTTAGAAGGTGAAGCACTACAGTGGTGGGAGTGGATGGAGAGATCCTACGGGGCGGCGGAAACCTTGATTACATGGCCAATGTTTCAGGAAGAGCTCCGTTACCAGTTCAGTAAATCAGAGGGGTGGGCTCCGGAGCAGTTGGTTAAGCTGAAGCAGACCGGCTCGGTTACGGATTACCGTGCGGAGTTCTTCAAACTGGGCAATCAATACCGTGGGGTACCAGAGGATACATTGGTGGGGCTGTGTATGGCAGGCCTAAAGCCGGAGATTGCTGGTGCCGTCTGGGTCTTTGAGCCGGACTCCTTGAAATCTGTTTTTCGTCTTGCAGGGTATAAGGAAGAGGAGCTCGCAAGTTGGAGGAGCACCATAGGGCGCTATCTGCGGACTAGTGCAAAGGACGATCATGCACAATCCTTAGGTTGATAAGCACAAGCATGCACAATCAACATGAATAATACCTCGATCATTGAATTAAACAATACCCAATGACAATCATTTAATCTAAACAAGTAATTACAAAGTATTAGTTAGGGATCTATAACACCCAAGAGAAAAGAGTGAGTTTCTAGAGAGAGAGAGGGATTACAAATTTGAGCTTAAGATCTTCTTTTTCTAGGCTTGAATCCTTATCCACCCAAGCCTCCAATGATGGTCCAAGATCACTCTAGCACTCTCTCTCTCCCTCACTAGAACTCCCCTCTTTGTGTTTTTGGGTAAATCCTAGAGAGGAAATTGAATTTCTCTCCCCCAAAACAGCTCTCCCCTCTCTCTCTCCGCTGATGTTTTCATATTTGCCCGAAAGTGACCAGTTCACGGACGCGTTGGCCAGTTCACGGTTGTGAACACCTAAACGAGTCCGTGAACTCAGTCATCTCCAAAACGCACCGCTTTGCTTCCTGGGTTCTCGGTTAATGTCCCCAGTTCACAGTCTTAGAGATCGTGAACTGCCTTGTCGTCAGTAACTTCTGGAACCTCGCTGGACGCCTCGGTGTTCACGATTTGTGGTCAAAGTTCATGGTCTTAGGAGACCGTGAACTACCTTGTCTGACCGTGAACTTGGACTGTTTCCTGGATGCCTTCACTTCACTGCTACGAGGCAATTGTCACGGTCACTACGTCATACTTTTTTCGGTTTTTGCGCTTTTTGACCTCCAATTATCCCAAAATTCGACCTCGACCCTTCCGCACGTGCTAGGACCTAAAATGTATCAAAACAAGCACAACCTAGCGTGAAATATGTCGAGGAACGATGAAATACTAAGCTAAACGAATAAGGAATGAGGGATAAAATGTGTACGTTTGGGCCCGAATCAGTAATTGATGGCGTCGTCGACCCGGTAGGTGTGATAGACGGTAACCGGGCACGCGTGAGGGCAGCGGCTTTGTTTTGGAATACGTGTAGTGTGAAGTCAGGGTTGCGGGGGAGAGTGGAGTGGATGTAGTCGATGAATTGCTTTCGCTTCGCCTCCCGATGTCGCCGCCGTAGTCTGAGTGGTGGAAGGAAAGAGACCCCTAAATTCGAATTAAATAATTTATTATTAATATTTTTTATGACGTGTCATGCTGATTGTGCAAACATTACTGAGTTTTGGACGGATTTACCAATTCGTTATTCACTCAAAGTTGTTTTACCAAAACGTACAAATTTAGAGAATTGTGATCGTTTTGTACAAGGTGAATAGGTTTGTGACCATTTATTATAATTACCCAAAAATTATGTTATTTAGCAGAGTTTGTGGATTCCATATATGCATGCCAAGTTCATGAACTAGGGGTGGAACAGAGGGTTATCCTGTATATTTTACTAAATCGACATATATCAATAAAAAGTAATTGTATCACGGTTGAATCCTACCACTTGCTAAATAGGCGCGTAACATTAAACATGTTTAACAACCTTACACGATTTTTTTATGAAAAAATAATAATAGACAAATAATAATAAACAAGGAAGATAATGTCAATTGTATTTATTACTCACAAATTTAATTCAACCAAATCCATAATGAAATCAATCAAAAAAATAATGATTTGGTCCAAATTCATAATGGACCAATTCCATCATAAATACATAAGTTTATAAACTTAGATTTTAATAAAAACATTAAATTTTCAAATCCAAACGAGTATCTATTGGTTGTTGCTAGTCTCAACAGCTTCACATAATATTATGAGCAAGTTTGTCTTAAAATTTAGAATCAATGAAAAATTCTTTTGTCAAAACTTGTTATTTTGACAAAATATAAAGACTAATTTGGCCTTTCATTTTACTCATAAATTATTACTTGTTATAATCTACAATCTTTTCATAAATGTCTAGCCTGACCTAAATTATTACTGATAAAGACTAATTTAGCATAATATGA